CTGCGCTTCCAGAGGATCTAGGTTCAGTTTCTGGCACTGACATGGCAGCTCATAACCATCTACAACTCCAGTTCCAGAGAATCTGATACCCTCTTCTGGTGTCCGTGGGCACTGTACACACGTGGTGCACAAACACCCACACACGTAAAATAGTCATAATCATCATAAAGCTTAAAAAAAGGAATCTAGACTTTAGGGTTGAGGATTCAGCTCAGTGGTGGAGTATCTATCTATTATTGTGGGGGATTAATCTAAAGAACCTGAAAAAAATTTAAAACTTTAAATCTAATCTCGATTGCATTGTAGGACTAAAATTAGATAACCCTGGAGTGATTGACAGCCAACACTCTTCAGGCCAATGCAGTAATTTTGTCACATAGCCATGTCTCCCTCTGCTGGTCAAACCTGATTTAGCACAGTAAATCCAAGTGCCGAGTGAGTCATTTTGATAAGGTACCTGCTGACTGATGAGTGCATTCTTCTTGCATAGTTTTATAGTGTAACCCGATTGTCACTGGGTCCTCACTGGAAGAAGCAGCTGACGTGGGGATCCCCCGTGGAAAAAGAACTTTCTGTATTGAGCTGAGTGTGGTGGTTCACACTTGTTATCCCAGCACTCGGGAAGCTAAAACAGGAAGATCAAGAATTTGTGGCTAGCTTGGGCTATACAATGAGCAAGCACTTGCATTGACAAGGATGGCTCCACAAACAGCTGACTTACCACTTACCTTTATGGTAACTCAACCCACTGCAGAAGGGAAACACCACGTGGCTTCAGGGTTGCCGTCTCAGTGGCTTTGTTTTTATTTGATTTCATTATTTTAATTTAGTTTCTATTCTTTTGCTTTCTTTCTCCCTAGACAGCTGTTCAGTCTGAAGCTTCTAGGCTGGGCCCTCTTTACAAGACAAGGATATTGCTGGACATAGTGGCCCACGCCTCCTCTCAGGAGGCAGTGGTATCTCTGTAACTTCCAAGTTAGCCTGGTCTATGTAGAGTTCCAGAACAGTCTAGGCTACATAGAGAATCCCTGTCTCAAAATTAATTCATTTATTAGTTAATTAAAACAAATTAAATCAGAAACCTTCTCTGACTGGTAGGAGATAAAAGGATGAAATTTACATAAAATGAAGCATGGGACTAGTGTTCCGGTTTTTGTGTGGGGAAGTGAATTTGAAGTCAAGTTTGGTGGCACGTGTATATACCTAGCCCTTCAGGGGGCCAAGGCAAAAGGATTACAAATTCAAAACCTGCCTGGGCAACTTAGAAAAACTGTTTCTCAAAATGGAACAAGGGCACTGGCTAGATGGGAAGCCCGTGAGTAAGAGTGCTTGCCACACAAGTACCAAGCGTTACCTGCGCGCTCTTCTCTCTCTCTCCTTTACAGTAAATAAAATAAAGTTCTGAATTCTGGGTGTTTTTTTTTCTGTTTGGTCTTGGTGTTTTGTTTTTGTTTTTGTTTTGAGACAGGGTTTCTCTGTATAGCCCTGGCTGTCCTGGACTTCCCAGAGATCCTCCTGTCTCTGCCTCTCGAGTGTTGGGATTAAAGGTGTGCGCCCCCCCCACTGCCTGGCTCTGGGTGTGTTTTTCAGGGCGTTTCAGAGCAACTTACTGCAGGTGAGAGAAGCAACTCTGGGTGGTGTGAGCAGGAGCCATGTGAGGCTGAATGGTGGAAACCTGGACTGTGTAGACAGTATTGAAGGAAGGAGGGCATCTTGAACAAAGGAGCACCATGACAATACAGAAACAGTGGGATGTCTGGAGGGACCTTAAGCAAGTCAGAATAGCTGGAGAACCCAGCAGGTAAGAATGGTGGACCTAAAGCTACAAGGAAGACACAGAATGCAAGTGTGGGGGGGCATATTTATTTAGAGACAGGGTCTCTAGTAGCCCAGACTGACTTCAAACTAACTGTATAGCCAAGATGACCTTGGGCTTCCACGCCTCAGGCCTCAATTTTCCCAGTATCAGGGTTACAGGCATGTGGCACTGTGCCCAGATTTTCAGAGGCTGAGGATTAAACCCAGGTTTTCATGTCTGCTAAGCAAGTGATCTATCAACTGAACCAGAACCCCAGGCCTGGATCCCTTTTCTTGAGTGCTTTTTATGGCCCAAGCATGCACACATATATCATTTGACTTAATCTTTGTATAAATCCTGTGAGAGAAAGTAAACACTCTCTCCTACTGTGAAAATAGCTGCTCAGAAAAATTAAGTAATTTAGAGGGACTTGCATCTCAGAAGCAATGTATTTTTTTTCACCCCCTCCGCTCCCATACAGAAGGACCTGGGCCAGTGGTGACAACATGGAGGGAGCAGAGTACACTTGTATTTTACCCAGCACTGTAGTGGCAGATGAGTTAGCCAAAATAGAGATGGATGTGCAAAAGCCAAGCCAAGCACAAGGAAATAGTTCAAGAATCAAACAGTAGCCGGGTGGTGGTGGCATATGCCTTTAATCCCAGCACTCGGGAGGCAGAGGTAGGTGGATCTCTGTGAATTTGAGGCCAGTCTGGTCTACAAGAGCTAGTTCCAGGACAGGCTCAAAGCTACAGAGAAATCCTGTCTCGGGGGAAAAAAAAAAAAAAAAAAAAAAAAAAAAGAATCAAGCAGTATCCAGAAGCCAGGTTGTCGGAGCCAAGGAAGGTAAAGTTTACACAGTCAAAGCTTCACCAGTAATTGGCCCAAAGGCCAGTTCATCAGGGGAGCTGGACGAGCAGAGTGAGGAGGAAGGCCAGAGAAGCAGGCCAGCTACCAGCTGCTGGCCTGGCTGACAGCCAAATTCTAGGAATTTGGGGATAGCAATGACACAAGGAGCCAAGTTTTGCTGTTTGTTTTGGGATGTGGGAGTCTCTTGCTGCCTAGGTTGACCTTGAACTCGCTGTGTCTCTGAAGACAGCTTTAAACTCTTGATCTTCCTGCTTCCATGTTCTGAGTGCAGATGACACCATGCCTAGCTTTATCTCCATTTTCATAAACTTTATTTTCAAAGCTTGTGAATAGCATAAACATCACATGTCAAATCCATTTTCTAAATGATTATTTATTCTTATTTTACGTGTTTGGGCGTCCAGCTGCACTATTTTGTGTGTTCGGCTGTTAGCCTACACACGTGTATGTGTACCACATGCATTCCTGGCACCGGGGGAAGTGAGGAGAGGACACTGGAGTCATGGATGGTTGTGAGCCACCATGCAGAACCGTCTGGAAACCAAACCCAGGCCTTCTGCAAGAGCAGCTGGTACCCTTGACTGCCAAGCCATCTCGCTAGGCCCTGAATCCACTTTTAAGTACACGAGGTCGCTAATGCTGAAGCAGGGTAACTGCTGAGTGGAGGTCGGAACTGGAACTATGTGGTCTGGGAAGATAACTAGTAGCGTGTGTTGCACAGGCACGAGAAATGGAATTGTGATCTCTGATAATCCCTGCCCTGAGGAAGTAAAGACAGGCCGGTCCTCAGTGCTCACTGACCAGACTGCCTACCCAGTTAGCATTCCACATGAGTGGAGGAACATTGCCCTCCCGATCTCCCACCCCAAATAATGAAGTTCAGGGTCTTTCAAAGTGGTGGCTCAGTGGCCAAGAACATTTGTTTCTTTTACAGAGGACACTGGTTCCGTCCCCAGGGCACACACATCAGCTCACAACTACCTACAACTCTAGTTCCAGGGGATCCAGCAGTCACTTCTGACCTTTGTGGGCACCAGGAACACACAGGAAATGCAAACATACATATATACAGGCAAAACACATAGAATAAAATTTAAAAAACAAATGAACAACAGGGCTTCTCTGTGTAACCCTGGCTTTCCTGGAACTTGCTTTGTAGACCAGGCTGGCCTTGAACTCAGACATCTACTTGTTTCTGCCTCCTGAATGCTGGGATTAAAGGCGTACATCACCACAACTGGCTAATTTTATTTTTTTTTAATGATGTCAATCTCTGGCCTGAAGAGGCACCCACGTGGACATGCACCTGTATGTACACGTTCACACACCCACACAAATGCATATACCCCACATAGGAACTGGAATGCTAGGCCCAAGGTTTTTTGTTTTTTCTAAGTTTCATCCTTCTTTCTGCTATGGAAACAGACCACAATAGGACCTCAGGCAGGAGCTTGAAGGAGTAACCACGGAGGAACACTCTTTACTGGCTGGCTTCTAGGCTCACATTCAGCTATCTTTCTCACACACCCCGGGACTACCTGCCCAGGGGTGACACCTCCCACGGTGGGCTGGGCTCTCCTCCATCAATTAGCAATTAAGAATATGTCCCACAGACCAACCTGAAGGAGGCAATTCCTCAGCTGAGCCTCCCTCTTCCCTGGTTTCTCTAGTTTGGATTGACAAAAATTAACCAGCACACAACATGGAGGCACCAGTTCTGTTACAGGCTATGACCCCCTTTAGGATTCTAGAATAGGGCTGGGGCTCAGAGGAAGCTAGAAAAGTGAATTTTTCTAGAAAATTTTTTAGAAAATTTTTCTTAAAAAGCTAGAAAATGGCAGTGCTGTCAGAAGTACAGACTGGATCAGAGTGATGGTGGACAGACTGGGAGGTCAGAAGACGGACGGGCCTTCCTGGGATACGGAGGGTCATGGAGAAGAGGTTGGAGTCAGAGCCCAGTGCAGGCACAATGGGTGGAATCAGTTAACTGCTTCCCGCGCAGTGTTAAAAAGAAGGCCAGGCAGGAGTAAGCCAGGATAGGGAGTAAGCTCCAGGAGGCCTGGTGACACCCTGAGGAGTGGGGCACAGTGACATGTCCCCATCTGCAAGCAAAATGGCAGGAGCAGTGAGAAACTAAGAACGTGGTAGCAGAGAGAACACGCGTGGGTGGGTGGTACAGCCTCAGCAGACTCTCTCTGGGGAGGGGGTTGCATGCGGGAGGAGGGGCTCCCAGACCTGAGGACTGGAGAAAGCGTTAGCAACCTGACAGAACCCTGTTAACAAAGGAAGGACTACATCTCCCAGCATGCTCGGGTTCGGTGGGGTGACGGCGGGCGGTGGCTGCGCCGCATCCGACTGGTGGGTGCGGGACCTGGGTGGGCACCCGAGTCTGTCATCCCTGCGGGGTCGGCGGGGTGCGGGCGGCAATGCACCGCTGTCCCTTGCTCAAGGGCCGCGCCGGGCTCTTGTTCCCCGCCCCGCGGCCCCGCCCCTTGCCCCACCCCAGCCGGGAGACCTAACCCGGGCCGCAGCTCAGCGGCCGCAGCAACATCACTCTCGCCGCCGCTGCTCCGCCCCATCCCCTTCTGTTTTTCTCTCATTCTCCGGTGGCGGCGGCGGGGAAGGCGGAGGAGAGGCAGAAGCAGTCAGCTGTGTCTGCAATGAATGATCCCCCAGCTGAAGGGGAGGACTCCAGGTGAGCCTCTGCCCTCGGGAGTACCGGAATTGCCCGGCCGCCCTAGTCCCGCATCCCCCGCCATGGATCCCTAGGGGAACGGAAAAAGGAGGAGGAAAAGACAGCTCTGCCGCCCACCCCCATCTCATTTTCCTCTTCCTTTATCTCATTGTTGCCGAAGCTGTTTACCGTAGCGCTCCCTCTTGCCCCAGCATGGGGCGGGTTCCAGGCACTGCCCTTCCGCAGGAGCTGCTTGCGCGGTTGCCTGGGGATTCTGCCTAATTCTACCTCTTCAGTCTGTGCACAGAAAACTGTGGAGAGCTGTGGAGGCCTGGACTGCAGCAGCCTCGGGGCCAACTCCCTGAATCCCCACCCTGGGAGGCTGCATGCGGATTGAAGAGCGGTGTCTGGGGGCTGGGCCAGCCCGGCTGATCCCGACCTAGGAGTAGGACAGGAGGACCTCTCAGGCTGTAGAGCGGCCCATCTGGAAGGACAGAGCCACAAGATGGCCAGTAAGACCAAGGCCAGCGAGGCCCTGAAGGTGGTGGCCCGGTGCCGCCCCCTCAGTAGAAAGGAGGAGGCTGCTGGTCATGAGCAGATTCTGACCATGGACGTGAAATTGGGCCAGGTGACTCTGCGAAACCCCCGCGCAGCACCCGGGGAACTGCCCAAGACCTTCACTTTTGATGCTGTGTATGATGCTAGCTCCAAGCAGGCGGATCTGTATGATGAAACGGTGAGACCCCTGATAGACTCAGTGCTTCAGGGTTTCAATGGCACCGTGTTTGCCTATGGCCAGACCGGCACTGGCAAGACCTACACTATGCAGGGGACCTGGGTGGAGCCAGAGCTCCGCGGGGTTATCCCCAACGCCTTTGAGCACATCTTCACCCACATCTCCCGCTCCCAGAACCAGCAGTACCTGGTTCGTGCCTCCTACTTGGAGATCTACCAAGAGGAGATTCGAGACCTGCTATCCAAGGAGCCAGGCAAGAGGCTAGAGTTGAAGGAGAATCCTGAAACAGGGGTCTATATCAAGGATCTCTCCTCATTTGTCACCAAGAATGTCAAGGAGATTGAGCACGTGATGAACCTGGGGAACCAGACCAGGGCAGTGGGCAGCACCCACATGAATGAGGTCAGCTCCCGGTCCCATGCCATCTTTGTCATCACAGTGGAGTGCAGTGAGCGTGGCTCAGATGGCCAGGACCATATCCGAGTAGGCAAGCTCAACCTGGTAGACCTGGCTGGCAGTGAGAGGCAGAACAAGGCAGGTCCCAACACATCTGGAGGACCAGCCGCACAGCCCACAGCTGGTGGTGGCAGTGGAGGTGGCAGTGGTGGTGGTGGTGGCAGCAGTGGAGAGAGGCCTAAGGAAGCCTCTAAAATCAATCTCTCACTGTCTGCACTGGGCAATGTGATTGCTGCTCTAGCCGGCAACAGGAGCACCCACATCCCCTACCGGGACTCCAAACTGACCCGGCTGCTCCAGGACTCGCTGGGGGGCAACGCCAAGACCATCATGGTGGCCACACTGGGTCCAGCTTCTCACAGCTACGACGAGAGCCTCTCCACCCTACGCTTTGCAAACCGAGCCAAGAACATCAAGAACAAACCCCGGGTGAATGAGGACCCCAAGGACACACTGCTGAGGGAATTCCAGGAAGAGATCGCCCGCTTGAAAGCCCAACTGGAGAAGAAGGGCATGCTGGGCAAGCGGCCTCGGAGAAAGAGCAGCCGCAGAAAGAAGGCTGTCTCAGCCCCGGCTGGTTTCCCAGAGGGGCAGGTGATCGAGGCCTGGGTGGCCGAAGAAGAAGATGACAACAATAACAATCACCGCCCACCCCAGCCCATTCTGGAGTCAGCTTTGGAGAAGAACATGGAGAATTACCTGCAGGAACAGAAGGAGCGGCTGGAGGAGGAGAAGGCCGCCATCCAGGATGACCGCAGCCTGGTGAGCGAGGAGAAACAGAAGCTTCTAGAAGAGAAGGAGAAGATGCTGGAGGATCTGCGGAGGGAGCAGCAGGCCACAGAGCTGCTCGCGGCCAAGTACAAGGTAAGGGCCCCAGAGGATGAGTAAAGTCAACAGGGGACCAGTAGATTTCCCTTCGAGGGTCTGTGAGTTGGCCTGCGGCGGAGTATGCCACCTTAGGACCATATACTGACCGCTGTCCTAGAACGGCTAAGCAGAGTACTGTGATACCAGGTAACCAGGTACGCTTTCATGCATGCACACGCACAAAGCAGAATGGTCAGGTTCTTGAACCAGTGAACGTGAGATGGTCTGACTTGTTGCTGTCCATTTCTGCAAATGGCCCCAGGATTGGTCAGGTCTATAAGAAACCCATGTGGGATTCTCCTCTTGTGAGTGTGGCTTCTCATTCCTACATGGCCTTCTCTCCCAATACCTTTTCCCCCTCTGAGGTGTCTTCAGATCTCATGTCATGTTAATAGTATCTGATGTTTGGACAGCACTTCATGGTTTACAAAATACCCCACATTTGTCTCGTCTTGTCTCATCTTCACAGGAGCCATTCAGCATAGTAGTTTTTAAATCCCTACCTTACTGATGAGGAATTAACGGCTCATAAAGTGGCAGGACCAAGGTTCTAGAGCTGAGCTGGTACCTGTAAACACCAGGCTTTTAATCTTTAGTAGCAAGGTCAGACCATGAGACAGAGAATTCTGATTCCTATGGAAATGACCCACTGGATGACTCAGTGCCAGGCCCGCTCCTTGGTGTCCCTAGGAAGGAGACTCAGAGTGTCATGTAGGAAGGAGGATGGAGAGAGAACTGAGCTCTATCCCAGAGACCTAGAGTCTAGGCCTCTTAGACAGCAGTTCATTGAGTAACTGTCTGTGTTTTTCCCTTTTTCCCTTGCCTCCATTTCCGTTTTTATAAAGTAGGATGTTAGCTTGGGGAATCACTGAGCTTCTACCAATCTGATAACTCTATGGTCTGCATTAATCTGAGAAAAAAGAACAAAACAATTGACCCACACAATGAGACCTTATGTCACTTATGCCCAATTTCCCATTGTCCTGAGAGATGTCAGGACTTCAGCATCCTTCCTGAGTTGTCCACTTCTCAGAGAACCTCGGACCCTACATGGAGCTAAGTTACTGAGTCAATCATAGATCTGTTAAATTTCTTCCTGCTCTTTTTTTCTTCTTCTTTGTAAATAGAATGTCATGTAGTCTAGGTTGGCCTAGAACTCTGTCTGTAGCTGAGGATGACCTTGAACTAATTATCTTCCTGCCTACATCTCCTGATTGCTAGAATTGCAAGCAAGAACCGTCACCATGCCTGGTTTTATGCACAGCTGGAGATCAACCCCAGAGTTTTGTGCATGCTAGATAAATACCACCAACTAAGCTACATCCCCAGCTGCCTGTTAAATCTCAGTGCTGCAGATGTCACAACCCAGTGTTCCAGGCATTTCCGGATCCCTGGAGCCTTCAACACTGGGGTTGGAGGAAAAATATGGAGAGTCATGAGTTTGCTTAGAAGATCAAACACTGCCATTTCTTATTTCTTCTTAGGAATGTGGGCTAGGAATGGGGAGGCCCAGCCCACAGCCACTGGAAGTGTGACAACGGAGCCGTGTGCATTGTCTCTGTACTGGGAAATGCTGCTGCAGCCGGGGCTGTGGCCTGGCATGTTTAATATTTAATTCCCTCATGGAGAAGCTCAACCAGGGTTACCGAGCTGCTTCCTCAAGGGAAGGATCAGGGTCTGGTACCTGGGAGATGCAGGATGTTAAAGGGAAGGCTGCTAGTCCAGTCCTGTATAGCAGCGAAAGAGTCTAAGATGTAGGGTGGTGGTATTGACGTGGAAATTCTATCTGACCCATCAGTCATTGATTTCTCTTCCAAGATATCACTTACGCTGTTAAACCGGGAGGCAGTGTGGGTAACAGAGGCTAATAAAGGAATAAAGTGCAGTTGGGTATTTCAAACGTTCTTATTGGGAACTGACTGGTATCTTTCCGTATGAATTTTTACTCCTAAGACAAGGTAAGAACACAGGTAATAGGACAGTCAGGAAATCAGGGTGGAGTTGTGCATAGTGGCATGCATCTGGAGTCCCAGTTGCTTGGAAGACTGAGGCAGAATAGTTCAAGCTCAGGAGTCGAGACTTGGTAGTAATGCATAGCCCATTTTCCAACCTGGGCAGCATGTTGAGACCCCGTTTCTAAATAAATAAACACACAAGCAGATCTGTCAATCGATTGATCAATAAAAAGACTGAGGCTGGTGGTGGCGCACGTCTTTAATCCCATTCTTTAGTCCCTTTAGTCCCAGCACTCAGGAGGCAGTGGCAGGCGGAGCTCTGTGAGTTCAAGGACATCCTGGTGTATAAGAGCTAGTACCAGGACAGGCTCCAAAACTATAGAGAAATCCTTTCTCAAAAGACAAAAAAAAAAAAAAAAAAAAAAAAAAAAAAAAAAAAGACTGGGGTGACCAGAACTGGAATTCCTATACTAGGTGTATAGCCCATGCAACATTATAATCTTATTATTGGCAGTACTTGGAGTACTGGTATAGGATTGGTTCAGGGTCATACAGTGGCCTGAGCAGAGCCCAGCTGTTCATCTGTTCATGGGCAGCCTAGCTTCTTACGTTGTTGTGTACTTTCCTGGCAAAGTAATTTGGTTTTTCTTTTTCTTTCTTTCTTTCTTTCTTTCTTTCTTTCTTTCTTTCTTTCTTTCTTTCTTCTTCTTCTTCTTCTTCTTCTTCTTCTTCTTCTTCTTCTTTTTTTTTTTTTGAGACAGGGTTTCTCTGTGTAGCCCTGGCTGTCCTGGAACTTGTTCTGTACATCAGGTTGGCCTCGAACTCACAGAGATCCGCCTGCCTCTGCCTCCCGAGTGCTGGGATTAAAGGCGTGTGCCACCACCGCCCGACTTTTTTAGTTTCTTATTGGTATATGCTCATCATTATATACAATCTTTCATTATGACAGTTTTATACATGTATATAATGTATTTTGATTATATATACCCTCTCTTGTCCCCCTCCTACTTCCACTGGTTCCTTTACTCGTTCCTACAAACACCTCTTCTTTCCCTGTGCATGTGTGTGTCTGTCTGTCTGTCTGTGTGTGTCTGTCCCAATGAGCTTCACTTAAGTTGCTTATAAGAGCATGGGCACCTTACTGGTATCCTATGTGTGTGGGGGGGTATCTTCCTCCTCCAGCAATCATTAACTACATGAAAGGTTTTTTTTTTTTTTTTTTTTTGAGAAGACAGGGTTTCTCTGTGTAGCTTTGGAGCCTGTCCTGGAACTCACTCTGTAGACCAGGCTGGCCATGAACTCAGAGATCTGCCTGCCTCTACCTCCCAAGTGCTGGGATTAAAGGCGTGCGCCACCACTGCCCGGCCCAAAGTAATTTTTTTAAAGGTGTATTTATTTTACGGGTACATGTATGCCTGGGTGACTTGCCCCATGTGTGTGCAGGAGCCTGCAGAGATCAGTCTAAAGGGGGCATTGGATGTCCTTGAACTTGTGTTCTAGGAAGTTGTGAGGCGTCAGGAGGGTACTGAGAATGACCTGAGTTCTCTGAATGAGCAGTAAGCACTTCTAACTGCTAGACCATCACTCCAGCTCAAACCATTTGTTTTTATGTAACACTGCAACATCTTAATCTTACTCCTTCAAAACTCCCTTGTCGTGGACACTGTTTCCATAGGGCAGCTGTGAAAACCAAGGCTGGTCTATGAATCTGGTTAAATGGCAGAGCCAGTACCAGACGTTAGGTCTTCTGATATCTCCCCTGCCCTGTGTTCTTTTCATGTCACTCAGGGCAAAAGCCTCTCTGAGCTTTGGGTCCCAGTCAGATAAAGAGAAACAGAAGCTTGACATAGATAGATCCCAGGGGAGTGAGGTGGCTGTTGGGTACTGGTTATCAGATATAAACTGAGCAGCCTGGGGAATTCCAGGAGAGGGATGACTCGGTATCCTGTGATTTCTGAAACTCCTAACCCAGGATGATCAGCAGGGACCAAGGCCAGAATGGAACCCAGGCTGAGGACCCAGCCCTCCTGTCCTTCCTGCCCCCAGGGTACAGCTGGGTTGGGTTCTGAGGTGGGGGAAACATTTTGACAGCTCCTTAGGGAGTCACCGGGTGGCTGTAAGATCCTGTCCCACCTCTTTCCCAGGATTGCAATGGAGATGAAATGAGATCATTATTAGCACGGGGGCATTTGAAATAGGTTGAAAACATTGAAATGAATGGAGGGCATTAGCGACCACTGGGTGCCTTGTGTCTACCAAGCAGGGGTCCAAGACTGACATCTCTGTTGTTAGTTTAACTCTTTCCTTACCCGGCTTTTCTCAGTGCGTTAACACAGCTCTGCAGAGTCAGGCAGGAAAGGTCACAGAGACCTCAGGAGCCCGGGAGCTTTCCCTTCTCCATCTGCACTGAATTCTTTCCCCACTTTCTGGTTAGCCATCAACTGCACTTCTCTCTCTGCCCCCTGCCACTCCTTCCTCCAGTTCCTACCACCCCCACCGCAGGCCAGCTGAGTGCAGCTGAGTCGACCCAGTGCCCTCATTCAGGGTCTGACTCATCTTCCAGTCTGTCTTGCCTGCCTTCCCTGCCTGCCACCCTCAAGGCTCCTGATTCTCTTTGTTCTCTGGATGTGCACCAAGTGCCATGCCTTTCTCCTCTAAATCTCTCTTAAAAAAAAAAAAAATCTCCTTTGGCTCTTCCCATATTTGCTTTGGGCCTCAGAACGTGAAGGGTACAGATGTGTGAGTTTGTGATTTTGACCGGTGCCCTGTGTACCATTAACCATTAGCAAGCCACATACTTAGGTCATATCTCCCGGGGTCTGAGGGACTTGATAGCAGTCTCATCCTATGAAGTAGGAGGAATAAGGTAAGATTGACATTGCAGACTCACGGTGCTCTCGGAAACTGCCCACACGTGCTGGTGAATGGGTGCAGAGGGGACCATCTCTAGTCAAATTTAACTGTGCAAGAAAATTTGCAAGTGATGGCTTTATTTTAAAGCTAACTTTAAAATAACTGATACCGATTTCACAAACTTTGAAA